AAATATTATGATATATATATATATATATATTTATGTTTATCATTATATGTTTATGTTGCCATTATTAATTATTATTAAAGTTTAATATTATTAATATTAAATTGTTGGAATTGTTAATTATAGAACCTGGCCTATAGTTGACAGCTGATTTGCACCGTTGCAGACTGGTCGGTGTCTTTTTCATGAGCACTGCATCGTTGATTGAAGTGTAGTAAATACATTAGTTCTTTATTTATTGATATTATATCAATACTAATTTTTTAATCAATTTTTAAATAGAAAATATATCTCATAAATGACTGACATTTGTATGTTTTGACAGGAACAACAAATTCATCTACTCCCATCTCATTGGTTGCCACAATTTTAACCCGGCCTTCCAAACTTTCGTCGACCAATGAAATCTCGAGGACGGACAAGGTCTCATCCAATCGCGACTTTCTGCCAACTCCTGTAGACACTCGAAACCTTCCGCCATTGTCAGAATTCTCCCTGACGATAGGCACATCACCGACGTACCAGCTGATCTCCGGACTGGGGTACCCGGTTATTTTGATGGGAATTGTTGCCGGTTCGTTTTGTTTGAGCAATAGCGGTGGAAGCGTATATGCGATCTTTGGTGCCTGCCTGGACGGTGCAGCTCCAGAAATTTTTGTTGTTCCATCTTCTACCAAGTCATTGGAGTACTTCGCAAGAGTTTCTTCGTCGTTTTTTAGAGGCTTCTTACGAGAAAATAAAATTTTCGTTGCCATTGATTATGTTTGAAATTTTTTTTTCGTTGCAAGATGAATAAAAAAGAACATTTGACTTCATTTTTAGTTAAATTTTCATCTTTTCTTTATTGTTTATGCTTTGAGCGTTGCAAACGCGTTGCCGTTTTGAAAAAAATAAGGCCAGTCAAATTTTTATTTAAAATCAGGTACATGGTCTGAAAATATTGTATAATCAAGCCAGAAAATGCGCATAACAATAATTTTTGTGCAAATTTTACTCAAAAAATGTCAAATTTCTTAAAATTACACACAAAAAACACATATGCATTTTAATTAATGACTAATTGATTAAAACGTCACGGGTACCTTCAAATTTATTCTAAAAATAGCTTACAACTCAAACACCATTGGCTGAAAATAAAACTCAAACGCGATTGGTCAAAGTTAACAATTATGACGTAATTAACTACAACATGAATAATTAATGAGGTTACCAGCGGAAATACACTTATATAATACGGCGAAGTAATGAACGACTCATTCATTGAGAAAAAAGTTATCGTGGAGTACGTACTAGATATTTAAATATAATTATTTATTATTTAAATTATAATTATTTATAATTAACTTATGATATATTTTGTAATTAAATTTGATGATTTTTATGATTATTATGTTTAATGTTATTTATATATTGCAAAATTTGTTACCTCACATAAAATTGCGTAAAAAATCTATAAAACTGAGTTATATTTAAAAATATTTATAACAGTAATAATATTAAATAATAATAATATAAAAATAATAGTAATAATAATAAAATCAACAACAGCAACAACATTCTGTTAGTATTGAAAAGTTAGTTAGTTTTAATTTGGATACAACAACATCACGATTTTTCGCGATTTTGTCTTATTCACCAAACGTTTTTAGTGGCTTACCTGCTTTTAACTTCGGAGCAATTATTACCCTAGAGACACACACACACACACACACACACACACACACACACACACACACACACACACACACACACACACATACATACATACATACATACATACATACATACATACATACATATATACATACGTATTGTTACTTAGCTAACAGTAGTTAAATAATAGTTGTTGTAGTAATAGTAATTAACATAAGTAACTTTTCTAAATAATTTTCTTAATTGATCTGGCTGCTGATTATTGCACATACCTTGGATACATATATTATTATTGTTACTTTTATAATTATAACCTACGTAGTTATTATTATTATTTTTATTATTGGTGTTGTTGTTGTTGTTAACGTAAAACCAAATCTATCCAACGCCATTTAATGATACCTTGTTTTTCTAAATTTTTCATCTACGCAATTACCAAGAACTTTATCCAATCATATTTTGTTACATGAATTTGGCTTAATTGATTAATTAATTTGATTGGTTAATTAATTAATTAATTGGTTGACTTATGGTTTTTGATAATAATATTCTAAGAATTTTTTTCTAGAAATAATTATTGTTAAGATAATTTTTTTTTAAGAAAAACACAGAGTTAATTTTAAATGAGTTCGTCATGTTAGTTCATCCAAGCCAGCAGTCAATGTATCATGAAGATAAGATTTTTAACTTCCAGCAACATCAGCAGCTACAGCAGCAGCCACAACAGCCAAAACAACCGCCACATCAGACAACAAAAACGACGGAAGAAAGTTCTGGAAAGGATGAAAATGAAGCCACAACGACAACAAAAGCACAAATTAATAGCATCAACCTTCGCGCTAAGCTGAAGGCGAATTTGAGTCTGACCAACTTACAACCTCGTCAAAACTTCAGCCAGGTAAAATATTTCACAACACCAGCAACATCAACAACAATGACGTCATCATCGGCCACAACAACAACAACAACATCATCATCATCTCTCCCGACAAACACATCACAACCGTCAACACCAACGCAAATTTTATTTCCAAAGTATGTGACTGAAGAGCAAGAGGCCTACGTGCGTGGTTTTTCTCAAGCCCTCGAGGAATTATATCAAAAGCAGGGCGTTCCCCTTCTACCCCCTATGGCAGAGCCCGACGCTAACGATAACTTAATACAACTTCCTACTTGTGCTGGTGGTGTTGGTGGTGGTTGGGGTTATCAGAAGTTAACTTATAATGAAACGAAGCCGACTGATTATGTGCCCTCAGTTTCAAACATCCAGCCAATCCAGCCAGTCACTTATTCCAACGCAACGAACGTTCAGAGTTTTGTACCGTGCCATCCACGCTACCAGCCGCCCTTCATCAACTTGGAAACAGCTTCTGCTTCCAATTTTATCAACAGTCATCATCAACAACAACCGCTACAACTACATCAACAACCAACTCGGTTTCATCTTCTCACCGCGCACACCCAACCACAGGCAACCCAGCGACACGAACCACAGCCGTCTACTTCATTTTGGCAGTCACCTCCACCTACATTCAATTCTCAGACACAAATCTTTAACAACAATAACAGCAGCAACAACACAACAACTACAATGTACGCCCCTGCATTACTAAACCCACCAACAACGATGACAACGTCAATATCATTCGCATTCAACAACAGCAATTGTGGCTCTCCGGCAACTTTCCAAAGCTTCCCAAACTCAAATGATTCCACAAACAGCCGAAGTAGCAGCAGCGGTTTTGGTGGCGGTGGCATTGGCATCAGTGGATGTGGTAGAAGTGGTGTCGGTGGTAAGGCGCAGTCGATGAACGCGCTTCCGTTTTTGAAAACCGAAGCGTCGACGTCGTTTGAATATTTTGAAAATTCTCCACTTGCTACGACGAATTCATCGTGCGACTCTGATGACGTCCTTGTCAGGTGCCACTCGGCCTTTGCAGGTTCGACCCCCCTTCATATTTTTTAAATTTTTTGTTTCATTTATTTGAATTAATTAGAGAGAGAATTTAGATAACTAAATGGTTAATTGATCAAAACAATGTTTCGTTCGAATGACGTCAACTTTTTGAGATTTTCATGCTGTCAATTAATTTTTTTTTAAATTTGAAATCTGAAACTAATTGTTTGATAGGTGGGTATAATTAATAGATAACACACACACGCACGCACACACACACGCACAACAATACAATAAACACAGGACCCATAAGAACAATAGCAGTTGACATGGAAGAACAGGAAAAACTAAGAATGGACCGGAAAAGGGCGAAAAACAGGGTAGCAGCCCACAAATGCCAGCAGAGGAAAGTTCAGCGAATCCAAGACCTCGAGAGTAAGGTGTCGAAATTGAAGGAAAGAAACCAGATTCTGACCGAACATGCATCTAATTTGAGAGTCGACATTGAGAACTTGAAACATACGATTAGCTTGCACCGTAGTAGCGGCTGTACGCTGATGCTGTCTAACGTCAACTCTTTTGAGATTATGAATTCTTAACTTTTTTTTGTCGACTTCATTGTTATCATTATTAATATTATTGTTATTATTGCTATTGTTTTTGCTATTATTTTCCTTTGCTTCTTTTTATCGTTGGTGAATTTGACTGGAATATTATTTATCGTTGTAGCTAATTTTGCTATATACATACATTAATAATGCCTTATGGTAATTGTTATGGGTTTATTATTATTATTATTTCTGTTATAATTTAATAATAATAATAACAAATGAATAATTATAGTTAACATTTTTTCATATTTATTCCTGTATCTTAAGTGCCTTTGACGAGAGTTTGGTTCATTCTAATTGCTGTTACGTATATATTCCAGTAATTTTGTGTTTGTCTTTGTAGTATTATAATTCTCTCTCTCTCTCTCTTTCTCTCTCTCTCTTTCTTTCACTCTTTCTTTTCTCCTCCCCACACTCTCTCTCTATCTCTCCCTCTCTGGTTTTTAGTTTTATAATAAATAAGTAAAAAAATATGCATACGAAGCTTATTAACATTTATTCAAATTATCAAATTTTTCTCAAATTTTCAGTGAAAAAAGTTGCCAAAAAACCAAAAAATATAAAAATTGGAGAAAAAATTGAATGAAACAAAAAAGGAAACTTGGGAACAGTTATTATCGTCTCCTCATTTCTTAAAAATAATAAAAAACATCTGGAGCTTTCATCCATCATTCGTTCATTCATCCAATCATTCATTCATCCAATCATTAGTTCATTCATTCATCCAATCATTCGTTCATTCATTCATCCAATCATTCGTTCATTCATTCATCATTCATTATATTTTGTATGAAAACTAGACTATGAGATTGAAAAACTTTAAAATGCAGGGTGTGTATATTATATATATATATATATATATATATATATATATATATATATATATATATATATATATATATATATATATATATAATAATGAAACGTCAAAGGAATGAAACAAAAACAATAATAACAACTATAATATTAATAACAATAATAATAATAACCATAATAATGAATAATAATAATAATAATAATTTATTATTATCACTATTGAAAATCTTAAAAATTCGTTAAAAAAGTCTGTGACAAATGGAATGACTAGATATAAATGTAAATACACATATATACACACACACACACACACACACACACACACATATATATATATATATATATATATATATATATATATATATATATATATATATATATATATATGAATGAACGAACGAACGAACGAGTGAACAAATGAACGAGCGAATGGACGAGCGAACGAATGAACAAATGAATGTATATATAATTTACATATGTCAAAACCATCAAAATAACAAGGGAGGAATGAATTAAAACAAATGTTGCTTCGAATGTCTCAAATGAAGGTTGAGTGATGAGACTGCTGATGCTTGCAAGTCTCCACGTTGAAAATGTTGACGACATTGCTGACGTCATCCTCCGAGTGATAACAACAACAATTCTCACACATTCTAATGTTCTTGTTATGTTGCTGCTGCTGCTGTTGTTGTTGTTGTCGTTGATGTTGCGATGCGTTTTGCAGCAAGTGTTGTAGTTGTTGTTGTTGCAGTTGTTGCTGCTGTTGTAATTGTTGTTGCTGTTGATGTTGTTGTTGATGTTGCGGAAAATACTGTTGCCTCAGAGGTGTATAATGATGATGAGGGCATTGATGCTGCTGAGACATAAAATGATGTTGATGGTGTTGCAGCTGCTGATGTTGCTGTTGCAATTGTTGCTGTTGTTGTTGATGATGAAAATGTTGATGTTGTTGTTGCTGCTGCTGCAGTAAAACTTGCTGATGTTGCGACGGCAATTGTTGACGTTGCGAGAATAATAAACGATGTTGATGTTGTATCTGTTGATGTTGTATCTGTTGATGTTGCGGTACGTATATCGGTTGATGTTGCTGTTGCACAGGTATTTGTTGCTGTTGCACAGGTATTTGTTGCTGTTGTATAGGTATTTGTTGATGAGATATTTGTTGCGGAATAGCTTTTTGTCTCTGGGCATCTTTGAGATCGGCAGCTGCACTAGCACTGCAGCACTCAGCTGGTGAGGGATTTTTAAAAGTTGAGAAAGTCGTCATCACCTTCTTACTCCTCTTCCAGTTCAACGTCATCATCTCTCCCCCCTCATCTGCCCTCCCCGCCATCCTCATTCTCTCGCTCGTCTTCATGACGTCATTGCAATTGTTGTTGTCGCCGTCGTTATCGTTTATAGTGTCGTTGTCGTCATCGTCCTCGTCGTTGGTGACGTCATCGTCATCGTCGTCGTTACTTACCTGCCATATTGTCGACGGTTTGTTTGGCGTTTTATCTTTTTTAATGTTTGAAAACGTCGGAAAGCCATAATAAATTGATTCATTATTATTATCATTGTTATCTTGGTGATATTTGAGGTCTTTGACCCAATTAAAGGTGGCTTCCTCCTTCGTCACCCGATCAGTTATGTAGCTCTTCGGCCTGACACAGATATGGTCATGAAATGTTGCTGTTGCCGATGAGGATGATGATGATGATGATGACGTCACCAATGACGCCGACGATGATGATGATAGTGGGATGTATACACGCATGTTGTTGTTGTTTGTTGCAGTTGGTGATGACGACGACGACGATGTTGTCGGTGTAGGTTCTGGTGTTGTTGCTAAACGTGTCTCAAATGTTGTTGTTGTTGTTGTCGTCGTCAGTGCTGCTGCCGCTAGCGATGACGTCACAGCAGAAGTAACCACGTGATGGTAATCATGGTGGTGATGGTGATGATGATGATGATGGGGACAGACGGCATTACCGTCTGAAACATCATAAATTCCTAACGTATTAGATATAAATGGAAGTGTGATGAAGCTGTAATCATTATCGACATCGTCAATCAACCTACTATCATTATCATCACCACCACCATCATCATTACTATCATTGCCCTTGTTATCATTATCATTACTTATATTACTGCCAATGTAAGTAGTAGCAGTAGTTGGATACTGTTTTTTATCAAGAGCGTGAAACTCGGCAGCATGATGTTGTTGCTGCAGCTGTTGTTGTTGTAACAATTGTTGTTGTTGTTGTTGCAGCTGCTGTTGTTGTTGCAGCTGTTGTTGTTGCTGCTGATGTTGCTGTTGCTGCTGATGTCGTTGTTGATGTGGATAAGCGCTGATTACGCTCTCAATATCTCTTCTTTCATCAACGACACTGTAATTATCGTGATCATCATCATCATCATCGTTTTCATCATCATCATCATTATAATTATTATTATTATTATTATTAGTAGTAGTAGTAGTATTATCATGTTTACTACTAGTAGTAGTAGTATCATCATCATCATTACTATTAATTGTTGTAGTAGGAACATAAATACTAGCATTAACATCATCATTAATGCAATTTTCATTAACATAAGTAGTAGTAGTAGTATTAGTAGTAGTTGTAGTAGCAGTAGTGGTAGTAACATCATCGGCATCGTCTTTATCACTGCTATTATGTTGTTGATTGAATGATCCGTCATCATTCATATCAACAAAAATAGTTTTATCTGTATTTATTACATTCTTTAGATCTAATTTAATAGGATCATTACCATCACTATCATTAGTATTATTATTATTGTTGTTGTTGTTATTATCATCATCATCATTTTTCTGCCTAAAACTTTCTAAATCTTTTTCTGATCTATCAAATTTGTCAGAAATTTCCACACACAAACTTGTATCATCATTAATATCTTCACGGATATCGTTGGTATCATAAGTATAATTGTCATTATTCATATTATTATTTATACTTTGATCATCAAAATACTGAACAATGTTATTTTCATCCCCTATAATTTTATGTCTAACCAAGCACAGATCTTTCATCGTTAAGCCCTTATCATCACTCAAAAATTGAACCACAGAACTTAAAATCGTACATTCGATCATTAATATCCGCAAAGACACTGCAAAAGAGATTAATTCATTTCTACTTTGCTTTTTCTTCAGGGTGTATTTTCCAAGTTTTTTATTTTCTTCATAGCCGAGTATTTCGAATAATTTTTTGGTATTTTTGAATGCGCCTCTGCTGAAGTATTGCTGATAGATGCTTGAATATTTCTTTGAAAAATGAAAAATTAAATTTTTAAAATTTCAATAAGAAAAATATATTCATTTAAATTTTTTAAATAATTATGTTATTGAGAATTTAGTCTCTAGTTCTAGTGAGTAAGAAATATGACAAATACAGATATTAAACTGAAGAACTTACTATTTTAATTAATAATGAGTAAATAAGCTTTACAAATAGCTTTTAAATTATTATTATAATATATAATCATAATGATAGTGTTGAAAACCATATTTTTTTTATAAACTTTAAAAATGAAAACTAGAAATAATTTTAAAATGAAATAATTTAATTAAATCAATGAAACCAAACCGATATTTCGTAGAATTCTTTCTTCCATGGTTGAAAATTCAGATTGAGGGCATACACTTCCAGAATGATCAGACCTCCAACAACTTTCTCAAAATTGGACTTTCTCTTAATTAGTGACTCGTAAACTAGTGACAAAACGGTCCCATTAACTATGCAATGCAACGGAATGACGGCCAGCTTGCTCCTAATTATCACGTCGAACTCTAACTCATTCTCGAAGGTCGGGTCACTAAGGAGATCGTTGCCATCGACGCCATTTCTGTTTGACAACTTCCGTAGGTAGAATGATTTATTGAAATTTAAGACTCTAAAGTTAGTATCGCGGTCGGATTGAATGATTAAACGTTCATAATCATCTATTAATTCAATCATTGTTTAATTTCTATTTTAAATTTCGAACTTTCATGAAAAATTTGTGAGAAACTTGAATTAAAAAAAATTGTCAACGAGAAAAGTTCAATATCACAAACTCGATTCGTTTAAATTCAATTAACCACTGAAAACCAAGACTAGAATTTTATTGTAAAATTTGAAAATGCTTAATATAATCCAAGGCCAAACTTTAAAATTTGATTTTAACACCAACTCAAAGCTTTAATTATTTAATTAATATCCACAGATAAATTAAAAATGTACAAGACCATTCCCCACTAACTCGGTTTAACCAATTTTATTTGACATTTTCTGGTTTAAAACAAATAAAATAGACACCATTTAGTACAAACAACAATCAATTTTTGTATTAAAGTAGACAAAATAATATAAAAAAAATTTCTGGCTCGGAAAATGTAAAAAATTGTAAAAATCTTAATTAAATACATTCTTAAGATGTCTTTACTTTACTATGCATAAGATTGTCATGTTTAACAAAAACCTTTACATACAAACATACACATACATACATACAAACTTACATACAAACACACACACATATATATATATATATACAAATAAAACTCATAATATATATATATATACACATACATGTACGTAATTCATTAGAAACATGCGAGCATTAGCAAACATCAAAAAATTCTATTAATTAAAATTAATTAAAAGGCCTTTCCTCGAATATATAAATATATATACATCATTCATAGACAAACATAAACATATATATATATATATCGTCATTTTTTCGTATTTAAAAAACTGAAATTTTCAAAATTAAAAAAAAGAATAAAGATAAGGTCTGTCATAAATGTAAACATCATTCAAATACATATACATTCAAATAAGGCTTCAGTGATTTAATGGCAATTGTTGAGTAATTTAACGAATAAATAAAAAAATAATTATAATAATAATTATTATTGATTATTATTAATATTATTGGTCGTTTGATTATGGTTTCATACATTGGATATAGGACCGTGCTTGATGAGTTGCTGTTGGTTATTTTGCAGAATTTTCTGCTCAAATGATTGGAGGTTGGCGTTTTGCTGTTCTACTAATTTCAAGAATGATGAAAAATCTAAGAAATCATAGTCCTTATCGTTGTTGGTGGCGTTTTTATCGACATTGTTGTTGTGGTTGTTTTTATTGATGTCGTTGTTAATGTTGTTGTTATTATTATTATATACATTTTGTTGCAGAGGTTGCTGCTTGTGTTGTTCGGTTGCTGATGTAAGTTGTTGCATGATTGATTGTTGCTGAATAGCTGCAAGTTCTGCAGGCAAACCAGGAAGCGCTTGGTAAGAAGAGGAACATTGTCGTTGTTGCTGCTGCGGTTGTTGTTTTTGATAGAATTGTTGTTGCTGTTGAAAGTCTTGCCGTTGCACCAGCATAGAATTACGCTGGTGTAGTTGTTGTTTCAATTGTTGTTGCAGCAGCTGTTGTTGATGTTGTTGTTGCACGTTAGATGCCGACAGACTTTGTTGTTGCTGGCCATTCAAGTTAGAATTATAATGCGGACTTGAAATCGTTCTGATCGGGGGTTTAGGCGGCAGTTTAGCTCTAGCGCCATTTAAATTATGCGTGACCCCATTCTGGATTGGCTGACCAATAGCTGACCCATTTACATCATTATTAACTCTGCCGTAACTGTCCACACTTGACTGACATCTGTTGAAGACGACGGCATTCTGATTGGTGACCGGCCAGTCGACATTCCCTTCATATTCAAAACTGGTTTCAATGGGGCGAGCGATGTTGTGAGACTGATTGTGATTAACTGGATGGTTGTGGTTTTTAATGATTCCGCGTTTCACCGTGTTTTGATGGATATTTCTGTTAGTTTCATTGCCATTGTTGACTGAGATTCTACTAGGGTGACCGTTAACATATTTAGACAGATGACCACCCCCTATTGCCGACGACCTCTCCGATTTGTAGGAAGGCACGTCCCTATTAAACTGCGGTGACCCCATAGACGTTCTATCTTCTTGACCGCTGCCTAAATCCGTGCTCCTGGCCAGAGAACTGTAATTAGGATTGGTTAAAACTGAACTTCTATTCGAATTACTGTTGCTCATCGAATGTCTGAAGCCATTCACGCTTCCAGGAATCAGTGTTGATGTAGAAGGCTTGCTGTTTCGACCGACGATTTTGTAATTATTATTATTTATAACATTGTTATTATTATTGTTGTTATAATTATTAATATTATTATTATTATAGGCATGTTGCGACGTTGTATGATGGTTTTGAGTGGCATTGTTATAAAACTTATAATTGTTGACATTCAAGTTCTTATTCCTCCTAAGAATATCAGACATGTTGTTGTCGTTGTTGGATGCAGCCGCTGACGTCATCGCCGTCTTCATCCTCGCCATCTCACTCAGCGGTATGTAATCCCTGTGGAAGTCATCCGGATTCTCATCCAGTCGGTCCGGGAATCGATTGACATCCGTTAGAGATGTTACGTCGGTTCCGGTTTCGATGTTCCGTTTCTGGAGAACGTTACGGTAGCCATAAACCAGAGGCATGCAATCCCTGCTTGTTAGGAAGTTAACCGGGGAGAAAAAATTATTTTCCGCTACTCCAGATGTCACTGAATCGACGTAATTATACACTCTCAATCCGCAACAGCAAAAAACCCTTCGAATATCCCACTGCAGTTCTCTTTCTGTTCCGAAGATCGCCGACACGAATCCGCCCAACTCTTCATTCAGAGCATCAGGCGGTAGGTAGGCGACGCCTTCGATGAGCGAGTCACGCTCGACGAATCGATTACCGGATCTTAAATATTCGACCGATCTTTCGGCTGCGTGCTTGCCAAGTTGCCGGACGGAGCCCTGATCTGGAACGACGCTGATTTGATATTCATACATTCTCGAAATCTCTTTCGTTGCTTCGAACGAAACGCATTTAACTATCTCGAGGCACAAATTCATTTGCTCACTCAAATTCGATTCGTTACCCCCCTCTCTTCTCAGATGGACTAACCCGGTCAGCAGATTAACAGGCACGGCAGATATGAACCACTCGGATGCTTGAGGGGCCGCCAAATCTTCAGGAACCCAGTTATCTTGGGTGCAATTGAAGTACTGCCAGAGATTGATTGGCTCGTATGATACGTTCACAACTGGCTCGTCACTGACGCCCTCAGCCTTTGTGAAGATGCGTCTGTAGCCGATGATGATGGCCGATAGTTGGACCATCTGTGGAAGAGATTTGTAGTACTGATTGATCAGGCAGTCGACGTAGCTCTGTTCGAAAGTGTTCTTGTTCAGCAGGATTACATGCTCTGCAGGGAACAAGACTCCTGTCAGGTTTGAAATGAAACAAAATAATCATAACAATGACATTTATTATTTAAAAAAAATAAATAAAAAACCTAATGAAACAAAATGAAAGCAACCTTGAAGACCAGCAGGCCTGCTGACGTCATCCGGGCACTCACTTCCAACAATGGAAGACCATCGTGAATTGTACGAAACATTATTGTTGTTGTTGTTGCCGTAGTTGTGACTGTAGTTGTTGTTGGCTGCGAAACTTGAGTACCTCTGTTGTCGGGGGCCGTTGCGGTTCGATGATGACAGCAGCGTGTCTGTCGACTTACGCAGGGCCGCACTTTTACAACGCGGGAGACTTCGAGATCTGTGTGATCTGCACTCAAAATTTTGAACATTTTTTTTAGGTTTTTAATTACGCAGCTCTCAAAAACGCCGACAAAAGACAACAGCAAAAATACTAATTACCGATTTCTAACCTGTTATCAATGGTATCCAGCCCATCCCTGCTTCTCTTGTATATCTTCAAATCCAGTTCCTGTTCGGGCATTATGACCTTGCTAAGCTGTTTTTCACACGGGTTGTCGGGTTTATTTATAGGCGATCTAAAAATAGTATCAGAGTAATACGCCGACTGGGAATTACCATTGCTATTCTTAACATTTTTGATGTTTTCAGAGTTTTTGGTAGCATTTTTAGAGTCGGAATTTCCGTTGGTGTTGGCCAGTGGATAGGATGTGTCGAATTTTTTAGTCGATGAAGTGAACGATTTGTACTTTCTTGACTTTTTGTCGGCCGGAATGGAGGAGCAAGAGGAAGAGATGTGCCCGTTCGTCTGGGACTTGGGGGTGGAATTCTTATTACCCATCCCTCAATCAACCAATCGATCAATCAACCAGTCAGTCAGTTTATCAATCAGCCAATCAATCAATCCCCTCTGACTGAATGAGTAAAATATCTCAAATGTTTGTTTGTAAGTTTCAGTTAACAATGGAGATCTCAAATTTTGAAAGTCAAAACCATTCTTTGGTCTGATTATTATTATTATTACTATTATTATTATAGTTTATTATTACTATTATTATCATTAAATTATTTAATTATTTTAAAATATTCGAAGAAATTTCTGAATACTGCGTTTCACTCTATAGATAAAAACCTGTAAGGGAAAGTTTTAATTCGTTAAATTTAAATTAATAATAACACCAATAATAATAAAAATAATTTAAATAATAAAAGAGAAAGGAAGAAGAAAAGAAATAAAAATAAATTAAATTAAATTTTTGAAGTAAAAAAATCTGATACAACAATATTTAAAGCTTAATTTTAAGTGGTTAAAAAAATTTGATAAGGATAAATGCATACGCACATAAACATAAAAAATACAGAATACGTCATTTATGTGTATGTATGTGTGTATTTACGCATGTATGTATGTATGTATGTATGTATGTATGTATGTATGTATGTATGTATGTATGTATGTATGTATGTATGTATGTATGTATGTATGTATGTATGTATGTATGTATGTATGTATGTATGTATGTATGTATGTATGTATGTATGTATGTATGTATGTATGTATGTATGTATGTATGTATGTATGTATGTATGTATGTATGTATGTATGTATGTATGTATGTATGTATGTATGTATGTATGTATGTATGTATGTATGTATGTATGTATGTATGTATGTATGTATGTATGTATGTATGTATGTATGTATGTATGTATGTATGTATGTATGTATGTATGTATGTATGTATGTATGTATGTATGTATGTATGTATGTATGTATGTATGTATGTATGTATGTATGTATGTATGTATGTATGTATGTATGTATGTATGTATGTATGTATGTATGTATGTATGTATGTATGTATGTATGTATGTATGTATGTATGTATGTGTCTATATAGTACATGTGCATGTTTATATTATGTATACATGCATGAACGCATGTATATATGCGAGTAAGTATATAAAAGACGTGACTGTATATATAAACAAACAACACACACACACACACACATAAACAAACACATATATAAATGTTTGTGTATATATACGTGTATATACATTAGCAACAATGCAGGAATAGGGTGACACATGAAAAGACATTTATTGATGATTCAATGGCACTAAAATGTATATCTACATACAAACATACATGCACACAAACATACTCACATACATACATACACACACACACACACACTGTGTATGCAGACTAGCTGTACATTTCTTACGGGTGTGTGAATGTGTGTGAGACTGAGAATGCAATGCAATGTACTCTTTGTGACCTCCTCGCATTTTTAATATGTTCTTCTTGCTGTTGTTATTGCACATGTGTTTTTGCTATTGTAATGGTGCCGAATACACATACACATACGCACATACATACAACGACACACACACACACACACACACATACACAAAGACATACTCATTTACATACTGCACTTAGAAAATATTCTAAAGGAAACTCATAAAATCAATCAACTGATTTCCTAATTACATCAAACCGTTATTAGCATACCAATAAAGACCGAAAAAATAAACAGTCTATCATAATAATAATTTATGCTAATGAGCTGCATTTATTTATAATTAATTATGTTAATGTTCGAGGCTAGACTCAATGGACAATGGAGTGGACACGAAATGGACACAAGCAGAGTGCACATGACAGAAAAACATTATTATGACTATTATTATCATTTCTATTATTATTATTTTAATATATATTATTATTATTACTACTAATCATCAGCATTAGCATCAAGCTAATTGAATTTTTCAATTACAAACGTTACTGAGCTGTAAAATATAGCACAAATTCACACCAAACTACATAACACAAACACACACATAAACACGCACATATATATAACACATTTTATATAACACATTACATCACAGCCATCAAACAAGTCCAAACACATGTAACTAACTTAGGATGATCTCTCCCTTTCTTTCTTTCTTTCTCTCTCTCTCTCTATATATATATATACATAAGTGTGTGTGTGTGTGTGTGTACAAAAGCACACACTTACATCAGTACATATAAATACCACTAAAGTGCATACATTAAATTAAAATGTACCAGCATGTACATACACTGAGTACACACACACGCACACACACACACACACATACCGAAGTTTCATCTACGAATTTATATTATAGCCCCCAATGTATTGTGTTAGTTTATAATTTTGAAATTAATTTTCTCCGAACTACATCCATTTAAGCATGCTTTGTAATTATATTACTATTATTATTTATTTATTTATGACCACTATTATTATTTAATATTATTATTAATTTATTTTTAAACAATTAGTTTTTAATTACTTTGAGTAATTCAATTATTCTTAATAATAGTTATTATCATTATTAATTGAGAGCAATTTTATAATTGTGGTTGTGATTTATAAGACTCCAAATAAATATTGAGATAATTACAACGTTACTACTACTACTACTACTACTACTACTACTACTACTACTACTACTACTACTACTACTACTACTACTACTACCAGCATTATCACTATTATTACTACTACTTCAATCGCTACTACTATCGCTGCTACCCTCTACCACTACTACCAGTAGTAGCAGTAGTAGTTGTTGTAGCAACCACTACAGCATCGTTAAAGTCATCATTACCATCATCTTCTTCTTCATCATCTTCTTCATCATCATCTTCATCATCATCATTGCAACGCATTAAAATAAACCTGATGTATCTACAATGTGATATGGAAAGAAAAGTTTCAAGAATTAAACACATAAAATTTAACGGCTGTGGTGATGACGATGATGACTCGCGATCATTGAATCTTCTAGACGATGAAATAAATACTCATTCGTATAGCCATCCTCACAACAAATTAACATAATACAACTCATTCTTTTATTCATTCGCCCATCCAATCTTCCACTCACTAATTTATAACTCATTATCACTCATTTATTCACTCATTAATTCTTACTTGTACTCACTCACTCACTCACTCACTCACTCACTCACTCATTCTTTCAATCCATTTTCATTGATTATTGCTCTGCTAGTTCGTAACTCTCATCACAGGAACAACAACAACACTGCCATAGTACAACTACCAATAAATTGATCAAGTGCATACATGTTAGTTCAACGATATACACACACACACGTACACACACGCGCACACACGCACACACACACACACATTAGCCACTTGAAAAAGATAAATTTACGACGCATATATACAAAAATTCAACGCATATAATGGCAATGTATGTTGTACGTACGTACGTATGTATGTTTGTTTGTTTGTATGTATGTTTGTATGTATGTACGTATGTATGTATATGTATGTTTATACACTACTTTAATATACATAAACAAAAAAAAACAAACATACAGGTATTGAAATTGTTTACAGCTTAATATCACGAGATACAACAATAGTATAGATAATAATCAATAGCAACACACTTCAAACATGTATGTATGTATGTATGTATGTATGTATGTACGTATGTATCCAGGTATGTATGAGTATATACGTACTTCATTGTTACAATATGATTGGTTGCTTAGATATCTTAAGTTATCGGTTTACCTGATATAATGGTATCAAAGATAGAACAAAGTCATTCATTCATTTTTTTTAGTTCATTCGTTTCATCAGATCGTTCGATCAATCCACCAATTCATCCATCAATCACTCACTCACTCACTGAAACAAGAAACAACCAATCAATCGATTATCACACACACACACGCACGCACACACACGCACACAAGAACACACACACACACACACAAGAACACAACCACTATCTTAAAAAACAACCTCATGCTCATCACGGACGTCACCATCTTTAACTTATTTGATAATTAATATAATTGCCATAGTGGTTGCTTATTTATAGCGGAGAACAAAAATTTCTTTCCCTTCCTAACTTACGTAATTTTACATTGCCTAATTATACCGCTCTCTGTCACTTGGGTGTGCCCTCTCAACAATCCCACCACAGCCCACACACATTCTTCTGCTATCATCATCATCATCATCATCATAATCGTCCTCACCATCATAACCATCATTATTATCCTCACCATCATCATCATCATTATCATCACCACCATCATCATCATCATAATCATCACCATGACCATCATCACAACCATAATAATACTGGTAGTAAAAGAAGTTGTAATAGAGGTAGTAGTAGTAGTAGTAGCAGCAGCAGCAGTCGTAGCAGCAGAAAAAGTATATATTAGTAGTAATAGTAGTAGTAGCAGCATTGGTAGTTGTAGTTATCGGCAGTAATTTAAAGATAAACCAGCCTATGTTTACGTGTGTGTAAAAAATAGAATACTACTTTTCTCTCAAGGCTGAAAAAATATTCTGAATGATCTGTGATCATCATCATCGTCATCATCATGCTCTTTGTCATCATTACCATCACCGTTAAGCTCTTTGCCATCATTACCATCACCGTTATGCTCTTTGTCATCATTACCATCACCATCATCATTAT